CTGAACCAAGACAGCGTTTCTCAGGGTCTAATGTGAGACAGGGACAAGACAGAAAAAAAGAAAATAGGGAAATTATCCTCGTATATACAGGTACAGACAAGGCATCCTTTTTGCTTTCTAAACAAGACCAATGAACATGTTCGTCCATTTATGTATACGAAGCTAAGGACCTCTGTTCCCACACATCACGCCACCCCTCAGTGCACCTGTGCACCCCGTCTCCCTATAGATCCATGCCTGGCAGGCTCCCATAGTAAAGCAGCCCGGAAAGAGGCCATCGTAATGCTATGCTCCACACAAGTGCTCCCTTTCCTTACATTCTAATTGAATGCTCATAGCCAGTAAAACAGTCTCCGTCTAGCCATCGATGGGCACTCCACAGGGGAACCACCATGGCTGGCAAAGAGAAACAAAAAACCCAACGCCGTTACCAGCTTCATCTCCCAGCAGCCCAGGCCTACTGACTGGCTCCTGAAGCTGTGCTGATATCAAGTCCTCTCCGTGTTCAGCCCTTTCACCTCCAGCAAGTCAGCACTGCAGCCCCGCTGACCAGGCCCCGGGGCCCCAGTGAGTCAGGAGCTAGCCCGAGAAAAGAGGCGTTTCTTACACCCCTTCTTGGGCCCGAGGGCATTCACCTCTTTTAGCCCCTTCCCTTCCCCATGCATTAGCTTATGGGTTGAAATCCTGAACAAAAAAGAAAATGAAAAAGAATGAAAAGAATGAAATGGGAAGGATCCGATTTTTGCTTGATGGCTAAATGTATTTATATCTAATTAGGAGACCCCACTGTGAAAGGGGTAAAGTGTTTTGGTTCTGGCCTATTGAAGGACAAATACCTACTGTGTGCTCGTTCTCTGAGTTGGCAAGAGAGACCCAGAGTCCGTCTGCTTTAGCGCCGCCAATAGAACTGTGGGCAGGACCCTGGCGAACAGGTAGCATCCTCGGGGCTCCCCCTGCCCGCAGAGCCCGTCAGCCCAGAGTTTTTTCATGCGAGCTCTTCTCAAGCCAGGGATTTGAGGATTTGCCCCGTTGTACTTTTCCAAAAGAAAAGAGAGAAAGGGAGAGAAAAAGAAAGGAAGAAGGAGAGGAAGGGAGGGAGGGAGGGAGAGAAAGAGAGAAAGAAAGAAAAAGATTCAGCCTCTTTAGGGTGAAGACACACACAACATTAACCTTTCACTTGAGCTTCACCTCCCTTAGAGGGTCTAACGCTTCTCGAACCCCCGCAACTTCCTACTGACTCAGAAATAACAGCACAGAGCAAGGAACTTAATTAAAAATAAAAAAGGAGCTGCCAATGCCTTGGCTTTCATCAGGGACACAGGTGCTAAAACGCTCGTCCACTGACATGCACTATCACTAGTCAGAAGAACTAAGAACATGCATCTGTGTAGGATCCCTTTATGACGTTGTTTGTATCTATAAGTAATGTGGCCAAACTGTTGTTTAGCTAAGCTCAGCTCCCCAAGAATCCTGTATCAGTTCAATACAGAAATACGCACACGCCCATCTTGCACATAGTGGCGGTAACACCCTTTCCAGCCACAAGGGCTTGTTCTGGGTTCAGAGCCCCTCAGCAGCATCTCCAACACTTCCCGATGCGTCTGTCTTTTCTTCCCAAAGTGCTCTTTTATCCACTGTACAGAATGCCTTTGCACAGAGGACCTAGTGAGGACAGAGCCGTGTGCCAGGTGACGACAGCTCAGTGAGCCGGCAGAGCCAGGCCCCCGGTGGCAGCAAGCGCAGAGCCAGGAGTGTATCGGGCGCCGGTGAGTGGGAGACCCTCCACACTGGCACCAGGGTTGGAGCAGCCCTGGGGAAAGTAGGGCAGAGCCGGTCGGGGTGGAGAGGGGCGTCTGGCCGGGGCCTTCCAGGCAGCAGATGCTTGCGCCTTCTGAATTCGGAGCAGAAGGACCCGAGCGGGGTCCTGGTGACCTTGCGGGACCGCACCCGCCCACAGCAGCCCTGTGAGCGAGGAGGCATACAGCTGAGACGGGGTGACCGCCCAGATAGGGCACAGGAGGGACAAGCAGACAGGAGCAGTCAGGGAGGTGGAAGAAAAGACAGGACAGGGTGGTGGCACGCAGCCAGATGGGCTGCAGGGGCAGCGGTGGCCAAGAAGGCTGAGCGCAGCAGAGTGTCCCAGAAGGAGGCCGGGATAGGGTGCTGGGGGGGCAACCTGGGCCAGGGGACGGGTGGTCACCGGGTGAGCAACCTGTCCCGGGGAATGGGGACTCGAGGGTGCAAATGGCACTGTGTCCCTCCTGATCTGGGCCAGTGGGCGCAGAGCTGCAAGGCCAGGGCAGGGGTTTCAGGGGGGTAGCCTCCAAAATTGGGAGCCGAGGGATGGCTAACTCCAGACTCAGTGGTGAGCAGACTGCATGGGAGGCCTGGGGGCAGCCCTTGGGCCGAGTCCCTGGGGGAAAGGACTGCCTGGGGCATCTTACACTGAGAGACAGAAATGGAGCCCCAAACTGGAGGCCAGCCCAGAGGCTGGAGGGCAGAGGACAGTGGTGGTCCCGGGAGGGTCAGCACAGGAACTGAGTTCAGAGGGCTGGTTGGTGTGTGTGTGTGTGTGTGTGTGGGTGTGTGTGTGTGTGTGTGTGTGTGTGTGTGTGTGTGTGTGTGTGTGTGTGTGTGTGTATTGGGTATGGGTCTGTGTGTGTGTGTGTGTGTGTGTGTGTTGGGTCTGTGTGTGTGTGTATTGGGTATGGGTCTCTGTGTAATGTGTGTTGGGTCCGTGTGTGTATAGTGTTTGTAGTGGTGTGTGTAAGCATGTGTGTGTGTTGAGGTATACGTGCTGTATGTTTTGGGCTGTGTGTTGGAGTGTGCAGGTGTCAGTGTAGGACGGGGGCAGTGGGGAGTGTAGATGTGTGACTAAGGCACCAAATACAGGAAACAGTGACCAGTCTCCGGGTACTTGCGCCAATAGGATGGAAAGAGTATCAAGGCCCTTTTCCACCCTAAATAAACTCACTCCTGACTCCACGGGAGACTTAGAAGGCAGAATCCATAGGAATTTGTGACTGAGGGGGAGGAGATGGTGAAGGAGCGGTCAGGAACGGCGGTGTTGCCATGGAGACCCTTCCCACAGCCAGGTCAGATGTCTGAGATGGTCCACGGGGCCTTGGCGCTGGCGGCACGGCCACCGCCCCACCGCAGGGCCCACTGGACGGGGAAGCACAGACTTGCCCAGGACCCCTGCTTTTCCTGCCTCCCTGCCGCCGAAAGAAAAAAAACGTTCCCCAGATTCCCCTGGAATGCCTGCCCCTGGAAACGTCAGGAAGGTGTGGTCTGCGGAATGTGGCCATCAGAGGCTCCAAAGGGACCAGCTGAGTGGCTCTCCCAGAAGCACCCATGAGCCTCGGCCCTGGGGAAGGGGGGCTGTGTGGACAGCACACCCCTGGCCTGACTAATCCAGAGCTGGGGGTCAGCATGGAGGCCGTGGAGACAAAGCAGCGCCAGCCACACCAGCCGCCCGCAATGTGCAGGCTGGTGACCTGCAGCCCCCAGCATGTCCCAGGAGGAAGAGCCATCCTCCAACAGTTAAATCCTACAACCAAGCTCCGGCCCGCAGTTTTATAGGGGTCTCCGCTGTCAAGGAAACAGTTCAAACGCCTCGTGATGCCTCAGGGCTTCTCATCTGCTCCTGTCACCTATCCAACTTCTGATGAAGGATCCCCTTCCTCAGCTCCAGCCACTCTCTCTCTCTCTCTCTCCTGCTGCCACTGGGAACCACTTCTAGTGACCCGAATAGCTGTGAATCTCTAGGAAAACCACTCGTCCTCGCTTTCCTGGGACAAAGGAGTTTCCCAGGATGTGGGACTTTCCATGGATGGTCCCAGACAAACCGGGATAGTTGGTCACACTGGGGACCTCAGCCCTTCTCTCTTTACTGATGCAGCGTCCTTCCCCCAAACCTTGTCTGCCAGGAACACGCTCTGTCCAAACTTGCTTCCACAAGCCCTTCCGAGTCAGCTTCTGCCTCCGTTGAAATGGACACACTGCCCCATCCTCGGTGCCTTCCTGGTAGCCAGCGCTTCAATACTTGCCTGTCCATATGGGCTCAGTTATCCGTGTCGCCCGCTAGACTCTGGCTTCTGGAGCACAAGGCTACACTCTCTTTTTGTCTGTCCAGCTGTCACTAAGCCCAGCAACCATGGATGAGCCACGGGTGTCGGCCGAACTATTTTCCAATACGTGGGAAGGAATTCTGTGAGGTATGGATACACACAAGTTAAAGTTCTTCGAAACATTCTGAAAAGTCATCTTATTCCACTGATTCTTTAAGGTGCCTATCACAGGCCAGGCCCCGGAGCTATAGCTGTGAACAAGACAGTCAAAATCTCTATTCTCACAAAACTTTACTACCTAAGAAAGAAACACACAATAAATATGTTCTTAAAAGCAAGTAATTTCCAAGAGTGAAAAGTGTCATGGATTTTTAAAGGGCGGTTGATGGGAAGCAGACTGGTCAGGGGGCTGCATAAGTCAGGAAAGTCTTCTCTGAGGAGGTGATCCAAAGATAAGGAGGAAATCACAGAACTCGGGGGGAAGGGCTCCAAGGTGGGACTAAGAACGTTCAAGGAACAGAAAGCAAGCCAATGTGATTGGAACACGGTGAAGCAAGGGGAGAAGGATTGAAGGAAGTAGAGGCCAGATCACATTAAGCTTTGCAAGTTCTACGCCTTAGGATTAGATGTGACCTCCGTGGCTAACACAAGCTATTTCTCACATAGGAAAAGCTCAGAATTAGGAATTCCAAGCCTGGTATAATGGCTCCGTGGTCATTGGGCACTCATGCTCCTTGTACTTTTCATGAAGTTTCTATCATCAAAGTTATAATCACAAGATGGCTGCTGGAGCACCATCCATCACATCTTCATTTCAAGCAGTGGGAAGGAAGAAAGTAGAAGAGCAAAGCCCTGCATCCTCTTAGCTGAGCCAGCGCTCTTGGAAGAATAATCCCAAGAGCCCCAGTCAACAAATCTGCTTTTCTCTCATTGGCCACCTGTAGATGTAAAGGAGGTTGGGAAATATAGACACTTGGCTGGGTGCTGCACGGCTCCAAATTAAACAAGGGTTCGACCAGAAAGTAAGAAATACAGAATAAATATTGGGGGGGGGGCACCAAGGGTGTGGCAAGGAGCCTAGGGATTGTTCGAAGTGCAATGGGAAGGTTTTAGAGGGTTTTTATCAAGTGCTGCTGTGATCTGATTTACCCAGTGAGAAGGTCAGTCTAGCTGAGGGTGCACAATAAACTGTAGGGAGACAGATGAGTTAGGTGCTGTTACAATAACCCAGGTGGTGGTGGTCGGGCCAGCGTTTCAGCAGTGGAGGTGGTGAGAAGTGGCTGACTCTGGCCTCTGTTTGGGGGCTGGTGTCGACAGGACTTGCTGATGGACTGGGTGTGGGGTATGAAGGCAAGAGAGAAATCGGAGGGTGGATCCCACGTTTGGGGGCTGAGTGGCCAAGAAAATGCAGTGCCGCTTCTGGGAAGTGGGGAGATGGGGAGAGAAGCAGAGGGCAATAAACAGTTCCCCTTGAATGTGTGGGTTTTGAGAGGCCTGTTAGGCACCGGTAGGGGTGCTGAATAAGCAGCTGGAAGAAGTTTGGGGTTCAGGGCAGAGGTCAACCAAATTCGGGAGCTGCCAGCATACGGATGGCACTGAAAGGCAGGGCGAGATGAGTTCCCCCAGGGACAGGGTGTCGATGGACAAGAGGAAGGGAGACGGCCAAGGGTGAGGCCCCAGGGCACTTTGGCCTTGAGAGGTGAGAGAGCCAGCAAAGGAGGAGAGAAACGAGGCCAGCCTGGTGGACGGTGGACAGAGGGGGGGCAAAGGCCAGCTGCCAGATGCCGGGAGCAGCCGCGTACAGTGAGAGCAGGGAACTCACCCTGGGCCTTAGCAGCTGATTAGATCCAAGAGCGATTTCAGCAGAGCGGTGGGGACGAGGCCCCGGAAAGAAGAGCTGATAAGCAAGTGGACAGGCCAGGATGCTCTTCCCAGCAGCATGACTGTGGAGGCCGGCAGAGAGACCAGGCGAAGTTAGGGGCACAGGAGGTCAGGGAGGGCTCGCCCACCTTCAAGCCCAGGTGCCCAGGGTCATTCCGGACACCAAGCAGCTCCAACCCTGCTCTGCAAGATCCCCAGAGAGGGTGGGAGCAAAGCAGGCTTGGGTCTAGAGGGTCAGACCCTCGATAGGGAATCTCGGATGTCGGTGGCCCTAGGGGTCATTTCAGAGCCGGCAAAGCGAAGCTGAGGCCCCACTCAGCACAGGTCCCCATGCTGGACACAGTCCCTGCAGCATCTCGGTTCTTCTGGGGCTGCCCACGGTCCGGGGGGCGACCTTTGAACCCGTTCGTCTCTTGCCCTGAGTCAGGTACCCCTGCTTTGGGGGGACACCCAGGTGCTGGCCAGTCAGTATGCCATCCCAGAATTTGTTTTGCCAACTACCCAGAGCAGCGTTTTTCAGACTGTAGGTTGTTAACCACGAGTGCGTCGTGAGTCCAAATGTAGCGGGTTAAGACCTTCGTTTTTTAATGCAATAAAAAGGAATAGGATCGAAAATAACAGAAATCACACATAAAAAGGTGGGTATCTTTCATGACGCTCGTCTCAGTGACATCTGTGTTTGTATATTTGTGCGCATGTGTGTTCTGCATTGCCGTGTCAAGTGGATTTGTTACATCATGTTTAAGTTCCAAAGAGGGTGGGACTTCCCTGGTGGCTCAGTGGTTGAGAATCTACCTGCCAATGCAGGGGACACGGGTTTGATCCCTGGCCCGGGAAGATCCCACATGCCGCGGAGCAACTAAGCCCGTGCGCCACAGCTACTGAGCCTGCACTCGAGAGCCTGCGAGCCACAACTTATATATATATATATAAGTCTCCCAGCTAGAGGGGTGGCACAGGGAGGTTGGGAGGGAGATGCAAGAGGGAGTAGGTATGGGGATATATGTATTTGTATAGCTGATTCACTTTATTATAAAGCAGAAACTAACACACCATTATAAAGCAATCATACTCCAATAAAGATGTAAAAAAAAAAAAATAAAAAAAAAAAAAAAAAAAATCCAAGGAGGGGAGAGCCACCGGCCTCTAGAACCTCCCCTTGTGTCCCTGCCCCCCAGCAGTGACATCCTCCACAGTGGCCTGGGTGGGCGGCCGCCACTCATTCCCTCTGGTGAGGATGCTGTGTCCTGGATGGACGTGTTGGAGAAATAGTATTTCCAGGTGGGCGGTACCCAAACCACCGTTACTGGGAGTCGCATCAGATGCACCGGAACACGACCACACACTGCCATGGGAGGACCCTGCCCGGGTGCCCCTACCCTGCTGAGCGGAGCAGAGTGATGCTGTAGCCCACAGCCGAGCCCAGACCTGTCAGGAGGACAGGCCAGGGGTTCTCAGCGTGCCTGCACAGCCCGCCCCCAGAGATCCTGATGCAGTGAGGCTTGGAGGCTGCCTGGGCATTGAGGGGCTCTACGGCTGATCCTAACACAGGCCGGGCTGAGGACCACGGGCCTAGAAGGGGATGTGATGCTCCGACTCCCTAAGCAGAGGCCCTGGAACCCCTCAGAAGCCGTGCCCCCCTCCTCCCTTCCGCAGCCCGACGCGATTTGTGGCTTCGGTGTCCGAAGCTGCTGGGTCCCCTGGGTGTGGCAGAAGGTGATACCAGGCCTGTCGGCTCCCAGCAAGCCCTCGGGATGTCAGGCGCATCGCCCAGGACTCTCTGCCTCCTGTCCCAGAGACCCCAAAGCATTCCTCTAAGTAGAAACACCACGATGGCAGGTCTGGCCGTGCACAGGGACCAGCAGGGAGCCAGGTCACCTTCAGCTTCCTGCATCCTTCAGACATCTGCACCTCCCCACCCACCCTGGCCATCCCCTCCCCTTTCTTAGAGGAAGAAAGGGGTTATCCGAACATCATGGGGACCGGGATTTGATTTGATCGTAACTTGGTTACAGAAATTTCCGAGCACACGCGAGGATGGAGAGTTAGTACAATCAGCCCCGTGTACCCATCGCCCAGCTTCCGTGGTCCACTCACAGCCCCTACGCACTTGCGCCCCATCACAAAAGACCTTGCCACCCAATGTCACAGCCCTTTCCACCTGTGCACTTCCTCCTAGAACAGGGCCCAGACGAAAACACCTAGAAGCCTCGAGTAAACCCTCTGGGATGCTGAGAACTCTTGTCTGGAGACCCAGCCCCGGGCTCAGACACCAACAGGCGCTTCCCTGTGTGCCTGGCGGGGATGGAGACACTGCGCATACACTTATTTCAGGAGAACGGGGCTTGTAGAAGAAAGTTGGACAGATCCCCACTCTGTCTTCAGAGAAGCTGCTGGTGGACTTCCTGAATCCTTACTTGTTTGGGGCTCGTCTACCCACTCAGCACCCAGCTGGTCAACACTGCCTTGGTCAGTCTCCTTAGAAAAAAAGGAGCATTGCCTCCAAAATCCATCAGCAAAGGTCACCTCCTTTGCCATGAGATGAAAATACATCTGAAGTGTGTTTACCTGGGGAGGAGAGAAGGGGGATGGCAAAATGGCTCATTTTAAACTTGAGTGGCTTTGTTTGGGTTTTGCTAACAGATAAACTATCTGAACTCCAAACCAAAATAAATTCACCTCTGAAGTTAACCATGTTATTACATCAGTGCTGATGTAATGGTTCCAAACCATGAGAAAGTAAAATTCCAGCATAATGGGTCTCTCTGTTTAGCTAGAAGAAAGGCAGGGCTGCTGGCTTCTTGTCAGCTGGAATGTGGTGTTTTCTATCATGGTTACGCTGCAGGGGTGGGGGGGCGGTGTATGTGTGTGTGTAACCTAATTAATGATGTTTTAGTAACTGTGATGTGAAAGGGGGTGGATAGATGTGAAAATATAATTAAGGGGTGCCTAGAAGGTCCCTGGGCCCACCCCGAGGAGGGTTCCAGAAAGATCATCCCCTGCTCGCCCCACCCCAGAGCCTCATAGACTCAGCGAATCACAGGACGACATTTAGGACTCCAGTGGCCCTCCAGGAGGTCACAGGTCAAGGGGTTGGAAAGGTCAGAAAGGCTCAAAGACGACCTTACTTTGGGAGACAAGTTCCAGGTAAAAGAAGAAGTGGGACCCGCCCCTGCCCCACGATGCCCTTGCGGTATCGGCAGGCAGAGGACAAGCCAGCTCCTGCAGCCATGGAGAGCTGAGCAGATGATCCACTTGGGTGTCGCTCTGTGCGCCAGGAACTCAGGCCACAGCCCCACAGCCTCCAGAGCTCACGCTGGCCCTGCCCCTGGCCTGGAGGGCTTGGTCCTGGGCTCTGGCCCCCTCGCGTCCCCGCCAGGCTCAGGCCAGGCAGACACCCGCTGCCGCCCCCGCCGGGTCGGATGGAGGCTGGTGCACAAGGACGTTGACCTAAAGAACCCCGGGTCCCAGAGCCAACACCAGCCTCTGTGCTTCCTCAAGCAGGTCACCTGCAGCCCTGCGTTTCACCCTCCCGGTCCCCATTGCCCGGCAGCAGCTCTGTAACTCACGCTTCTCCCAGCAGGTGCCTTCCATGCCATTAGAGTTCTCGAGTCAGAGAGGTCTCCACCCAGTGGAGCTGGCGGCCTTCCCATCCCAGGTTCTACCTCAAACTCAGACGTTTGTTATTTTGAGGACTTTTTAACATATCTGTCATCGACATCACCTGCCCACCAGGTGCAGAACCCAGAGCCAGCCTCTGCGCAGGCCCGTGGGCTCCTTCGTCAGGTCGGGCTGAGGCCCGCGGGTCACATCTCATCGAATCCTGGCCACAAACCCATCACTGGTCCCATTCTGCAGATGCAGGAGGTTGAGGAGCCGGCCCAGTGTTCCAGGTATGGAGTCTGGTGGAACCACAGGCCTCAAGAGGGAAATAACCACCCCCCTTCCCCACGGAGGTGTACTCATTTGCTGGGGCTGCCAGAACAAAGTACCCCCGACGGGGGAGTGCAATGGCAGAAACGTATCGTATCGCAGTTCTGGAGGCTGGACGTCCGAGATCAAGGTTCCTTCTGAGGCTGGTTCTCTCCTTGCCTTAGAGACGGCCATCTCCTCCCTGTGTCCTCACATGGTCTGTATCCCGTGATGTGTGTCTGTATCCCAATCTCCTCTTCTTATAAGGACATTGGATTAGGGCTCACCTAGTGACCTCGTTTTACCTTAATTATCTCTTTCAAGACCCCATCTCCAAATACAGCTGCTTTCTAAGATACCAGGGGTTAGGACCCAACATATGAATTTGGGGAGAGGGAGACACAACCTGGCTCACGGTGGACTCACTCAGGGCCAGTGGTGGAGCCGGGGTGGAGCCAGCTCTAAGAACTGAGATAGGCTGGGACCTGGGACCTGAGACCCTTTGCTGCAGTGCTTGCACCTCAAGCGATAACATACAAAGAAACTATAAGGGACTAAAAATAACTGTGTGCATGTGCAGTCAGGGCAAATTATGGACAACAAGACACAAAAAGACCAAAAACCCAACTGCCACTTCTGAGGAGTCAGGAGCAAAAGCATGTACTGCGCATGCCCCCTGCACTCAGCACCGCCAAAGGGTGGGCAGAGCACCTAAGCCACGCCTCCCCCCGACACACCCCCATCCTCACCCCATATAAGGAACCAGCTCCCTTCCCCCGCCTTAGGGAGCCAGCAAGGGAACCTGTGGCTATTCTTGCCCTCCCTGCTGCCGCAGGGGCCCCAATAGAGCCTTGCCTGAATTTGTCGTCTGGCCCCTTACCAGTTTCTATTGATAAGAGGAAACCCTGGTTGGTATCAGACTCATCGACTCAGTTTTCCTGAGTGCCTGCTGTGTGTCAGGCCGTGGTGGATGTGACATGGCCCTGGATGCCACCATGTGAGCGACACATGAAAGGAAAGGACAGCAGCCCAGGGAGCAGCTCTCCGCAACAGTCTTGAATCCCTCCAGAGAGCCCAGAGCATAGGCACCTGAGCCTTTGCAAGCATGTCCAAAACACACCTGCCCGCCATACAGACTCCACAGGCCCCCGGAGTGCTGCCGCCGCGGGCTGGCACCGCCCTCCACTGACCCAAGGACTCTGCGGGCCCTCCGGTTCCAATTCCTCTCCTCACCCTGCAGAGCATGGGAGTGTGGGCACCACAAGAATTTGATGAACGAGTGAACGGATCCATGCAAGTTCTGATGGATTCGGTCCTCCTGGTCTGCCCTCACCTCTTTCCTCCTGAAACGTCATTGAATTCTGGGCCAGACCCACCATCCACAGTAAGGATGGGGCCCTACGGAGCTGAGGGTGCCCCCGGAGCATCAGACAGCTCACCAATGGGCAGCAAAACCCCCAACGCTGCATCCACCCCCTGAGTTGCTGGCTCTCTCTGCCCTCGGGGGAGGAATGGCAGACGTGGAATTTCAAAGCCACCAGCAGATGCTCAAGAGGTGGGCATCCAAAAAATCCCCCTGAAGCATCAGGTGTCTCCTGATGGAAGGGCTCATTCGACGCCGGAACCCATTACGTTGGGGAGGCTTCTCCATAGGTTTTAGCAGCAGGCCTGCTCCTCGGCTGTCTGGATCAGTTTGGGTGTGGTCTGGTCTTGCCTCAAGGCAGGAGGGAGGGCCAGAGGACCTCCTTGGGTCCCCTCCTGCCCCGGGATTTCAGGCAGACGTGAACATCTGGGGAGTGACAGTAGCTGAGCGATGCTGATGGCCCGAAGCCAGCAGTAACAGGGTGGCCCGGTCTGGGCAATCCACCCGGAGCTCACCAACTAGTAGGGATGCAAATAGCAGCAAGCAGCTGCCAGGGTTACCCATGTGACAGAGCAAGAAGCAGCACGGAGACGTGCCCCACCTGGGAGGAAACAGTAGTGCGGCGTGGGCGTGTGTCCACGGGCGAGCATCCCGGACACATGCACGCAGAATGTGTTTATGCAAAGGTGGTGGGAGGCCTGCTTGGGAGGTCCCTCCCGTCAGATCAAGAGAAGCTGGATGAGAATCACAGCTCCCGACCAAGCATTGTACACGCCTTTAGCTTTGCCGCCTGGTTTTTCTTCACCAAGTCCTCAAAGAAGAAAGGGCTGGGGACACCCTCTCATTTTCACACTGAAAGACAAGAAACACTGAGAGATGGCCCAGATCACACCAACGTTGCCCCAAACCCAGTGGATTTGCACTGACTACTATGGGCCCCGTGCCTTTCTAAGTAACTTTTTGCTGTAGCTACCTCTGAAATCAGCTTGGCTTTTTT